AAGGCCTCCAGGGGCGTCGCCATGGAGATGGGATAATCAGTCACTATCACCCTGAGGGATGCTCACAGTCAGGGAAACAGAGGGGATGGTGCAAAGGGTCACAAGAAACCGACCCACCCAGGCCACCATGCCCTCGAGGGCGACACAGGGCGCTTCCTTCAATCCTTCCTGTCCTTCGTCCCTCCCCAGGCAGCCATCCAAGCTCCTCTGTCCTCCCCTTCAGCCCTGGGGGCCACTGGCCTGCTTTGTGTCACTGGCAATAGTGGCCTTGTGGATCTGGCTTCTTTAGCTCAGTTTAATACTTTTGAAATTTACCCCATGTTTTATAACTTTTTATCATTATTATTATTATTATTATTATTATTTTGAGATAGGGTCTTACAATGCAGCCTAGCTCACTGTGTAGCCCAGGCTGGTCTCAAATTTGCAGCGATCCTCCTGCCTCAACATCTGAATGCTGGGATTATTTTATTATTTTTTAAACGAGACAGGTCTCACTCTGTCACCAAGGCTGGCTTCAGACTCGTGGGTTTAAGTTGAGATCCTCCTGTCTCGGCCTCCCGAGCTTCTGGGGGTGTAGGAGCTCAGGACCAAGTCCGGCTGCCCGCGGTACTTGCGTAGCAGCTGTCCCTGCCCGCTTCCCACCGGCAGGTTATATTCTAGTGTACGGCCTTGCCATCATCTGTTTGTTCCTCTGGTGATTAACTTTCAACCAGAATTCTGGAATCCCAGCTATGCATCCACCCCAAAGTGCCTTTAATCTCACAGCCAAGGGTCAGGCTTGGTACCGCGCACCTGTAACCCCGGCCCTTGAGAGGCTGAGGCAGGAGGAGCTCTGCAAGTTCGGGCCAGCCTGAACTGCAGAGTGAGGCCTGTCTCAAGAAAAGCACTTATTCCTCCAGGAAAAGGGCTTCACTCCACCAAAGATGAGTATGCTCTTCGTTTTAGCTTGATACTCGAGTGCATGATTTAGAGCCTGAGGAGTTCAGATGTTCTCTGAACTTTAAGTGGTTGCTAATTTCTTAATTTATACCTTATAGAAATTTCTGGAGGGGGATTATTAGCTAAGCTGGACAGTTTTACCTTATTAAGTTGATTTCTAAAAAAAAAAAAAGTCCGTTTCTCCTCCTTAAGTCAACTTTCTATTACTGAGCTCACCTGCAGGGATTTGAACAGTTGTTTGAAAATTCTTTTCTGGGTTGCCGGCAGGTGGCGCTCTTGTACAGCCTAAGAGAGCGGTGCTTCAGCTTTCTAGAGGTTGTTCTAGGCGGGTCCCTTCCTACTGAGATTTACCGACGTATTCATCTGTGTTCGGGTAATTAAAACCCATTACCTTTGATTATCAGAGCCATACATGCTGTTTATTAAACATTTTAAGAAAATGTACAAGATGTTCCAGGCTCGGTGTCACGCGCTTGTCATCCGAGCTGCGGGGGAGGCTGAAGCAGGAGTGTGTCCCTCCCAGGGCCGTTGGTACTTGGGTTGGGTCCCCCGAGGGGCCGCGTGCGGCTGTAGCGAGCTGGCTCCGTCCGTGCAGCGGGGCGCTGGCCTCTCCCACACCCCGCGCCTCCAGAACTGTGCAGAATACTTGCAGCGATTACTGCCTGCCGGGCTATCGGCCTGAGGCGTTTGGTTCCAGGGGCCCAAACAGACCAAGCCCAACGACTGTAAGCTGACACCGGGCTCGCTGCGCTTCCTGGGGGCAAGCAGGCAGCGTGGGGTTAGCGGGCAGGGAACGTGGCGCCTCCTCTGCCGCGTGAAGACCCGAACAATATTCTGACCGATATTGCTGGGGAAACGCTGTTATTTGGGACGTGCCTCCTTTCTGGGAAACCCCAGGCACTTCTGCACCAAGGCGAACTTCGTGACATCACTCTTCTTCTTCCCCATCTTCCCCTTCTTATCCTTCTTCTTCTTCTTCTTCTTCTTCTTCTTCTTCTTCTTCTTCTTCTTCTTCTTCTTCTTCTTCTTCTTCTTCTTCTTCTTCTTCTTCTTCTTCT